TATATATATATATAATACATAAAAGTTTAATGATCATAGTTGAATCAGACCAGGTAAAAATAATATTAAAAAGTGCTCAATACACGTGCAAATAACAAAAGTAAAAATAGTATGTAGATGGTTTACCTTTAAAGGTCAGGTCAGTTGAATAAAAAAAAAAGTGATTTGACCCCACTCCCACGGGTTTTGAGGAGCGTGGAACCATCTCTTAATTGTTGTTGTTCCCAAGTCCACCCTGACCTTGGGTGGTAGCACCGGTTCGGGTCTCAGCTGTGGGTGAATAGTGAATCAAAAAACAAAAACAAAAACATGGCCCACATGGCTCAGTGGTTAAATGTGTTGTTTAGAAACAGTGACTAGAGCCAGAGAGTTGTGAGTTCAAGCTACAGTGAACAAAAAACTTGTACAGTTTAGTTAAAGGGAAATAACTGAGACACCCGCAAGATGCATGTCACGTGGAACTAGAACAGTCTACCCCGATGGACGAAATAAAGGGTTCGATTCAAAATTCCAATCCCCTGGAGGAGGCCGGAGCGTACAACGGCCGAAACGTTGTGAACATGGCAATGAAGATGGGGATAACAGTCCGAATAATGTAAATAATGCAAGTAATCATAATACCTCATCTCAGAGATATAGACAGATATATAGAGTGACATAGACATAAAGGCCGGAGCATACAACGGCCGAAACGTTGAGAATATGGCAATGAAGATGAGGATAACAGTCCGAATAATGTAAATAATGCAAGTAATCATAATACCTCATCTCAGAGATATAGACAGATATATAGAGAGACATAGACATAAAGGCCGGAGCGTAGAACGGCCGAAACGTGAATATGGCAATGAAGATGAGGATAACAGTTCGAATAAGGTAAATAATGTAAGTAATCATAATACCTCATCTCAGAGATATAGACAGATATATAGAGAGACATAGACATAAAGGCCGGAGCGTACAACGGCCGAAACGTTGCGAATATGGCAATGATTATGAGAGGAATAGTCCGAATAATATCCATAGTGTAAATAAGTAAATCACGTGACCATAAAGGAAGTAAATAAATAGTGATGACTATACAATCACTGTTCATTCTTCTTGCCTATCCACTATTGCTCTCTCTACTCTACTATTGTACGAATTACGATTCTCTTCTGATTATTATACTATTTAGCGATTACTACTTGGACAAGTTCGGATATTATTGGAAGAAGTTACTTCTAGTACCGGCGTCTACGATGTCTCGAATATAAGGAGCATTTTTGGAAATGATAACAGATTTCGCTTGACATAGCAAAAGTGACAAACGAAGCCGTTCAACAACACAAAATATATCGAGAAAAAGAAGAGGATCTTGAATGATTGAAAGAAATCCGATTTTACCGGCTGTCAAATGTTTCCAGAAAAAAACCTGACGTGGTTTTGTCAATGGCAAGGCCTGATTATCTAAGAACTATTTTACAAACACATACAGAACCAACACTATACTACGCAGGCTGTTATAAATCTTTGTGTTTTCACTGCTGATACATTAAAAATAAAATAGTAATACATTTTTTTAAAAAAGCGGAATAAACCTGTAGTTTCAATTTTTTTTTTTTTATAAAACCGCAGATTATTCAGGAAAATTAATCTAGATATAAGTCCTCTCTCTGAAACCGGAAATAACATTGTTACCTGATCCTTATGACACTCAGAACCGAAAAATAAAGAAAACGAATAATGAGAGGGCATCAGGAGATAATGAAAAGACAACATCCTACACATATACAAATACCTACAGGCGTACACGCACACGCATAAACACGCGCGCACACACATACGCCCAGACAGAAGAAAAATCAACCAAACACCAATAAAAAAAGCGCCAAAATTATTTTTTTTTAACTTAATATAAAAATTACGAAAATAAGAACACTGACGGACATTTGCTTATACCTCCTGATGAGCGGACCGAACAATTATACAAACATTAGTCTAAGAAACTCTGGAGTCGAAGTACTGAATACAATTTCAATCAGTTTAGGTTTCGCACATATTCCTAATAGTTTTAGAGATTAGTGATGGCTATGCTTAAGGGAAAAATTAGAATAATAACATAGAATATTCAATGCCAACTATTAAATCAAAGGAAAGAGCTAGTGTTAAAATGTAGACATAGAAGCAGGTTCAAATTTATATATAAGAATATAGATATTACGTTATTACATACTAAATCCCAAAATGCAACAGTCCCTCAACTGGTGCAATTCCCTTTGATTAAATTTTTACTTTAATATCTTCTTCTTAAAGAATTTCGGGTACAACTTCGTATTCTTAATAACTGATTCTTAATGGTGTAAATTGATGGTATACATATATATATATATATATATATATATATATATATATATATATATATATATATATATATAAGTGTACATTGCAGTCAAAACTCAGAGGTGACAGGCTGTTTCATGCGTATAGCATGAAACAGTGTTATTTCAATGTTCACTTT